TGCTGGTGGTCCCTTCCAGGGGTGGGAAATGTGGTGGCGGCAGAAGGGTTGAAGAACTTTTGAGCGTTGTGTTCCAGTGACGAAGTGGTTTGTGGGACCAGAGCGTGCAGCAGACCACAAGTTTGCTGGGCAGCACTGAGGCGTTACGGAACAACGCATGACGAATTCATCTGATAAGATGCAAGTATGCCCTGTGTTGGCAATGAAGCAAAAGTGAATGAATCTTAGTCAACATAAAGCCCCGTAAACGATGCATTGAACTAATGCAAAATAGGATGGGAGCTTGTTTGAAATATGATGACAATTTATTATCCCAAATGAAAGCATTTCCGGACCTGGGTTCTACATCTACTCGCATGGTATACGTACCATCCCTAACGCCCAAGTAAAATTATTTTTATACTAAGTGGTTACAAAAAGTTTAACAGGTGGCGTGTAATGGCTGGATTTTGATTTCAACCAGAAGTAACATTTCTGCAAGCTCTCCTTTTTCTAGCTGGTTTACATAACCATAAATCTGAATAGCTAATACCTGTTTCTCGTCCGATATCATGCACCCAGTCCGAAAATGCACAGCGGAATTGTCCTTCCCCGTGCAGACTGACGATATTTGCAGAGTCCAAACAACGGAAAACTATGACGTTCGGATAATTGCGCATCGAACAGGTGGCGTGGCGGTTCGCAGAACGCTGGGTCAACACCGCCGGCCGTGCAGCCCAAACACCTCTCTCCGGACAATGGGCGCCTTGTTCGATCAAACTGAAAGATGAGATGCCATCAACGGCCGCAGCCAGATGGTATTGCAGTTGGAGCGTCGTGGCGAGTACAATTTCAGCAAGGTTGCGAGAGGCACTTACGACCTGGCGCTGACTCACGAGATTAGCAGTGCTCTGCCCGCGACTCTGTTCAGTTCGACTCGAACCATTCTCAGTCTGCTGGCCGAGGCAGACAGCTGGTGGGGTCAGAGGTCGGACGAAGGCCAACAGAGCAGTGACTCCAGACACCGAGACGGAGGGTCGGAGTCGTAGAATGTGTGAGATCACTTGGCGCGAAGAGACTCAGGGACGTGTGTGATGGTCTGGTATATTGCATCTATGATGGTCTGGTATATTGCATCTGTGATGGTCTGGTATATTGCATCTGTAATGGTCTGGTATATTGCAGCTCTGAGGCATCGAAATCATCGACTAAAACATGACTCTGACAGTGTGATACGTGCTTGATGGAATTTCCGAATATATGAGGTGATGTGCGGAGAAAATTGTGTTTCAAATGGAAGTCAATCATGAATCCGAGATGCGAGACCGAGGCACCGAGAGATCATCCCATTCTTTATCGGTGCCAGGTGAACTAGCAGTAAACTTCCAGCAAAATTTTGCCTTCGCATAGAAGCGGAATACCACACTGTGGCTTACTGAGCCCGAACGGACAGCCGGACGGCCAGCTCGGGCGGCCAGCTCGGACGGCCAGCTCGGACGGCCAGCTCGGGCGGCCAGCTCGGGCGGCCAGCTCGGACGGCCAGCTCGGGCGGCCAGCTCGGGCGGCCAGCTCGGGCGGCCAGCTCGGGCGGCCAGCTCGGACGGACAGCTGGACGGCCTGCTGGGCGGCCAGCTCGGACGGCCAGCTCGGACGGACAACTCGGGCGGCCAGCTCGGGCGGCCAGCTCGGACGGACAGCTGGACGGCCAGCTGGGCGGCCAGCTCGGACGGCCAGCTCGGACGGCCAGCTCGGACGGCCAGCTTGGGCGGCCAGCCGGGCGGCCAGCTCGGGCGGCCAGCTCGGACGGCCAGCTCGGACGGCCGGCTCGGGCGGTCAGCTCGGACGGCCAGCTCGGACGGACAGCTCGGGCGGCCAGCTCGGGCGGCCAGCTCGGACGGACAGCTGGACGGCCAGCTGGGCGGCCAGCTCGGACGGCCAGCTCGGACGGCCAGCTCGGACGGCCAGCTTGGGCGGCCAGCCGGGCGGCCAGCTCGGGCGGCCAGCTCGGACGGCCGGCTCGGGCGGCCAGCTCGGGCGGCCAGCTCGGACGGCCGGCTCGGGCGGCCAGCTCGGACGGCCGGCTCGGGCGGCCAGCTCGGGCGGCCAGCTCGGACGGCCGGCTCGGGCGGCCAGCTCGGACGGCCAGCTCGGGCGACCAGCTCGGACGGCCGGCTCGGGCGGCCAGCTCGGACGGCCGGCTCGGGCGGCCAGCTCGGACGGCCAGCTCCGCCCGACCCTGACCAGAGCCGCACTCACGAGGTGCGGCCCGAACGAGGCGCCCCGAACAAACACCTCTCGCGCCTGTTTGCGCCGCGGTAAAAAGAGGCTCATTACACAGCACGGACCACAGCCGGCGGGCGGCAGCTCTGTTTGCCGACACGTCGGCTGAAGGAGACCGTGACTAGGCTGGCCCTCGGGTACCTCTGCGCCCGGGGTCGCTGCGACTAGGCCCGGGCAATTGGAGACGCGCCGGCATCACGCACTATGTTCCGCGTGTCACGCACATGCGGTAAGCGTGTGCGTGACACGTGGAACATGCGTGACGCGGACAAGCGTGAAGACCTTCTCCTATGGCGGAGTCTCCACAACGTCACATAGTATGACACAAGATCTTCTTAATATCTATTTTGCTAAACTAACGAACTCATTTTGAAGAACTCTCTCGAAAGTGGCGTTATTTCTACTGCCGTTCCGAGACTGACGGAAATGCCTTCGACGAAGCCCGTGGCAAAGACAGGTTCAATACCGCGCCTCTGCCAATAGAGCCAGAGAAGTAATGGGTTCGCAGTTCGGCGGTGAGAAGCACCTGTCATCAGCTGAGTCGCTCCTGAGAGCAGATATCACACTGGCAGGAGAGCAAAAAGACCGGTGCATAGTAAAATACTTAGAGGTGGCAGAATAACAAAAGAGCATGTCCTATACCACGCTTAAACCGGCGAACGATACGACGACGAAAACGACAGCGGTGGGACGTGGAACGTCACCATAACCTGAATGTGGAAGTCCTAGCCGCGGGGCTGGAATTTTGCCCTAAACCTGAAAGCTTTCTTTCTTCGTGCCTCAATATTCGTCAATCAAGACAACGCAGTTTGGTACTTGTTTCCGAACTCAGTCGCCTTGAAATTCAAAGGTCAAAGCCAGACGGTTTCAGGGAACGCAACGCGCTTGGAAATGATACAATTGCTGTGGGCTGGTCAATAGAGAAGACGCTTACTGGCCTGCGTAGCGTTCGTTTGCTTAAATTCCGGTTGTTTAGGTCCTCCAAAAACATGGATAAAAGACATTCAATGGGGGAACTAACCCTATGATAGAAGTCAACTGGATGTTTATTCGCATGCGTAATAATGGAAAATACATTGGGAATTAGCATGACGCCGACACCATGTTGCATTATCACACGTTGTAATTCGCGCACCGTATGCATGATATTGCAACGCGCCGCATACTCTCACACCACCGAGAAATGGCTACGCCCGGGTATACAACGCAAAAGGACCCTGGCACCCGACGTTCTCCTCGATACCAATCCTCGAGCATCAGACATTATGTGTTTTTAACAGTTTGAAACGGGCCGACTTTGCCTAAGATTCGCCTAGGAATGACTTGGCTTGTGTAGATCCCAGCTCGATGCTCAGTTGGGCTTTAAGAGCATCGTTATGCAAATGCCAGAGTACTCAACTTCTCCATGGAGTAATTGACGTCGACTTCCGCAGCGCTCCAATTCACAGAAGGCGCCTCGTTCGGAGATCTCGGTAAGTGGGATTGGACAACCATGGTCGCCATCTTAACGAATGCCTGAGAAATAACTTTCGACTACTTATCTTGTTATTACATTTTTGGAAGACGCAAATGACAAAAGGTAATGATTGTGCATTTGAGAATAGCATGATAATCGTATATGCTTTGGTGACCATAAAAGATGTGAGCTGAGGCCAGCGCAAGCAGTCCTTAGGGCTTGTTGTTGCGGCCAGAGAGAAAATAGCTGCCCATCAGCTGCACACCGTACAGTCCGTCACCGTTCAAGTTGGTTTGCATCATTGAATACGTTCCGATTTTCCTGATTAGAACTCTGAAACTAGTCTCTAAAGCCCACATACAGTGAAAATGGTTCCGCAATGTCACCTCCCCCCGGAGACTGAAACGCTGAGTGTTCTGTGTGCCTTCCATCTGCATGCTTGAGCTCCGACCGAAGAGCTCCAGGGATCACTGAATCGTCGTCACCAAAGCTGCGTGTAATCGTTCTCCGCTCCGGCTGACTGAACCCGCTCAATGGCCAGCGCGTCGCTGCCTGCCGCCGGATGCCGTTGTGTAATCGCATAGCGCAAACATCAGCATGGGCTGCTTGCGCTGACCCTTGCCCTCAGGGTACACCGCGCACGCTGTGCGTGTTTGCTGTTCGTAAACGTAGCAGCGGCCGAGGATCCGACGTCGATCGATCGGAGTTAACCTTAGACTGCGGTCGCTGGGCAGTCAGCAGGCTCCTGGTGCTACAAAACAGGACCAGTGCCCGGTGGTAAGATGCAGGATGAGTCCGAGTGCTGCACGATGTGGTTTGCAGCTCCGTGCCCCGGTCGTTGACTGAAACGTCCTACGAAATGCAAATGTCGAAGTGCACTTGATCGGTAGTGTCTGTGAGGTTGCACCGCAGGTGTGTCACTTGAAATATGGCCGACATGGACCGGAGGGGGCACTCTATAAAGGTGGCTTACTGTAGTCCCTCATTTAAAAGGTGAGTTGCTGTAGTCCCTCAACTACCCCCGAACTCCTTAAAGTCGCGTCTTGCCATTTGTAACATAACACAAAGAAAAACAGCGGGTAAGTCCAATACTGTGGACTGTGGCTTTTGGGCAAAAACTTGACCAAATATCTCTCGCCCAGGAAACCCAGCTTAACAGCCAAACTAAGCTCTTGATACAGTGGCATTGCTTTGTTTGGCCAGTTTGCTTTTGATTATGCCATGTGTAGAGAACGGTCGCGCTCAGACCCCGCTTGTCACCGACTCCCGACGCGGGCGTACTCACACTTTGTGCGTGTTGCGCGGTATGTTGAAGGGCACGCGCGTCAGTCCGCGGTGCGAACAGTCCACGATGGACGAGGTGCACTGGCAATCCTTGGGGCAGGCCAGCGCCGGCGCCGCCAGCACCAGCGCCAGCCCCAGCGCCAGCCAGTCCGCCGCGCCCCGCCGGCGCATCCTCGCTCGCTGCACCGCCACCGGAGCCGGGCTCACCCGCGACACATACCCACGCCGGCCGACTCCTGCGCTCTGGTCTGCGGACCCGCCGCACTTCCGCAGCCAGGTCTCGGACCCCACTGGTGAGCGGCGGCCCGTCAGCGCCGACCCCCCGGCCCTGCGAGCGCAGCGCCGCCATCCGGCGGCGGCAGATGGAAACAGTTGTGTTTGGAAAAGGTGGTGATAGATGGCGGCGGCGGAACAGAGCGAACCTTTGATGCGTTGCGTCTTGGGAGGGTTTGACGGTTGCCGCGATGAAGTAGAGGCCCCGCGGACCCCAAGAATTATCTGCCCTGGCAGTGGGAGCGTGTCTTACAGCTTATCCTAGCTTCTTTAGCAGTCATCAGCCGACCCACTGCCAATACGGCACCTCTGCCGCTCGCGCTTTCAACGGAGGTCATTCATACCCGCAGGATATCATTCATCTCCAATGATTGTGATGAGATCGCCTGACTTGGCCTCGATTCGAGAGGTCAAGCCGAGATCTAACGATGACCGCAATAGATTCTAATCACATTAATGATGATTGGGCGGGGGTCAGCACCTGATACATAAACTCGGTCTGTTTGCCTCGTCCATGGCATACAAGCCACCTCCAAAACCTCCACAGCACACGTTGTGCACCACACGCCAATATATATTCCACCGACGCAGATGACTCATCCCTAACGAGCCGACGACAAATAACAACAGTGAGCGCGCATCCCTCGCGCATGTGGCCTAAGTCGGCGAAGCAGCCGGCGCCGGCGCCTCCCCAACACCCGCCGAGCTCGCCGAGCTCGGGCCGTCGACCGCGCCGGAGCAACGCTCCTGACCCGCAGGAGCCTCTGTCCGGCTCGCGCCGGCCGTCACCGCGGCCGGGCCCTCGGCGGCGACAGCGTCCGCCGCCTGCACCGAGCCACGCAGCGCGCCCGCGCCATCCAGCTGCGTGTTCACGATGTCCTCTTTGGCATGCTCGGCTTTCTTTTCGGCGGCGAGTCGCCTCTTCTCCCGCTTCCGTTCGGCCCGGGCCTGCATGCGACTGAAACGCACCCAACACACCCTGTCTGACGGCCACTTCGATCAGTACGGCAGGTGAGCATCGGCTGGCCGCCCATAAAAAGGCAACGATGCATGACGTCATAAGCTTAAGAAAGATGTGTTTACCACTACAGTAGTGAAACAAAATATAAATGTATGAAAAATGCATAAAAATTTGCGTGAGACAGCACCGAACTGCATTTCAAAACAATGCAACCATAAGTGAGTTTTAATCATTAAGTGCTGCCCGAAGTTCTACTGAGCTTCGGTGTTGAGCGGGCTATGAAGACAACGCCAGAGGCTGGAGCGACCAGCCTTGAGCAGGATCACGCCTAACCACAAAGCGGGTGTCGCCAAAAAACGAGGCAGAACTCACAGATCCTGCTGGTGCTTCCAAACGTACTGCTGGTAGCGCAGTTTCGGCAGGGTGGTATTGGTCACGTAACAGAGCAGGGAGATCACTCCACCGCCCAGCAGACCCAGAAGAGAACCTGACCAGCACGCGCGCCCACAACACACGTTACAGGAGATTGGGGTGCACTGTCCCAACCAAACCTACGGGCACATACGGCGATAGCCAATGTCAAGAAACAGCAGGGACCTGAAATCTTCGTCACGAGCGCGCGAGAGCACACAGCCCAACAGCAGAAATCCTGGGCTTTCCCACGCAACAAAAACGCCCAAACACCCTCGTTCCGTTCCGTCGTCTTTCCTCCTAACGTCTCGCAGTAGAACAACGGGCTGCTTACAGCCGTCTGGAACTGAGGCAAGCACACCCCTATACCATGACCCGCACAGCGATCTGCGGAAGCCAGCACCACAACAGGCGCTGCCGACCTGCGGACGCCCTGACCTGCTACGGCGCCGGCGGCCATGCCGCGCAGGCCCATGGTGACCTTGTAGAGGGCGCCGGACGTGAAGCCCGCAGCAACGTAGTGCAGCGCCGAAATCTCGTTGGTGTACACCATCAGGCTGGTGGATACCAAGCTGCAACACAGGCAGAACGCGGGCGTCGACCGCACTGGCGCCGAGAGCACGGCAAGGTCAATGCCCTCGCGCGCTGAGTAACACTCCGACTCACGCGGACGGGTGAGGGCATTACGTCGCCAGTGTGTGCAGGGAAGTCTAGTCCTTGGTTCGTGCCCGTGTTCCGATGCCTCCTAACGTGACGCAGACGCCAAGTATCGCATCAGTGTACGACACGAGGATATATATGCGGTACCGACCGCTTGAAAACACGGACAAAATCATCCCCGCCGGCTGGCAACGCAACTTTAAAATACATTGCACAAATATCCCATTTAGTATGAACCCAAATCCGAGAGTCAACTGCGCAATTCCTTCGGGACACTTCCAAGACAACGTGTGCGTGACGTTTCCAGTCCGGCCCGCTCACCCGAACGAAGACGTGAACAGCGCCGTCCGCCAGCCGAACATGAAGAAGCCGCGGGACATGGCGATCATGATCCGGTCCTGGAGCGCCCTCTGCCGGCCCGGGTCAGCGGTCAGGGCCGGGCCGGCGGGCTGGCGACCACACGGCCCCAGGGACGCCGCGCGGACAGCGGCAACGGCCGGCGGAACACGGCACCCCGCGGCCGCGACATGTTCAGCGATGCTATGTGCAATGTGTTCCGTCCAGTACCAACGTGGCAGACCCAGCGGAAAGTCTCACAGAGCCAACGGAAGTAAAATCAAAGGTCTCAGCGTTGAGAAGGCCCATGCATACGCTAAGCAGCAGCCCGCGCGGGCGCCGGCTGGCTCGCTGGGGATTGTAATAACGCGGTGCTACTCCTGCATGTTCGCTTCAGAGATCACCTTGGCCGACAGCTGCGTCTCAAACGCGGTGGCCTGGTTGCGGTCGATGAACTTGGCGACGGCGAGCCGGCCGTTCAGCACAGCTCCCATGGCGCCGCCGGCCAGCAACCCGGTGGTGCCGATGCTGGCGACCAGCTCCAGCTCCGGCGTCAGGCCGCCCATCTCGCTGTGGTGAGGGGAGAGAGGGGGTCCAGTACCGCGCGACCCAGGCCGGAGCCGCCACCCAGGGCGGGCGCGGTTTGCAGTGTCCGGCTCGAGCTGTGGTCACGACGCCCGGTGCGGGGCGCAATGTCCGCTGGGCCCGGTCTCGCTCGCCACAGCACGAGATGGACAGGGAGATTACGGCAGCCACGGCGTCGTAAGATTATAGACATTGACGACACGTGCGGACTTATACGATGTGACAGATTGGACAGCGATCCACTCGTGCCACTCTCGAACCTATTGGCCGACGCCGGCGTGGCCGCCAGATTACTGGTTGGTCCTGCCATGACACTCAGAGACTGACCAAAGAGTGAACGCGGCGGCTGTCCCCCCCCCCCCCCCCCCCCCCCAGTCCGCAGACTCACTCGAGCGTGTACATAGCGGCCAGCCTGTCCCAGCCGGTCTGCTCCTCCTCGGGGTTCAGCAGCTTGTTCTTCACCAGCGTCTCGAAGTCGACGTTGTCGCACTCGGACTGCACGGTGAGAATGCTGAACCAGGAGGCGGCCAGCGCCAGGCCGCAGCGCGTCCGCCACCGGTCCGACATGGGCCGCAGCCAGCCTGCGCTCGGGCCGCGGCCCCGCTGCCGTGCCAGTAGCGTCGCCGCCGTCCGTACCGCGCGAGCCAGGCTCATGCCATTCAGCCGCCTCAGAGGTGGTGAGGATCCGTGAAAGCTGTGCAAGCGAGCCAGCTGGTGCACTATGCAGCGCTGCATTCTGTGCTGCGGGTTTTTCTCTTTTGGAGGGTAGTGTGATGTTAGATGAAGGAATGCATCATCTCTGAAAGATGACAGAAATATTTGTTTAGCTTGTAGCAGCCTGCAGGTAATAAGAGAATAATATTTCCTGTCCTTAATGTACATTGTCAGATGCTTGTGCAAAATGGTATATGGCATTCCCCACAAAAATTGACCAGTCTTTTCAGCTATCAATATTCAAGTTCTTCTGCTCACCAAATTACTAGAACAATGGGGTCTCTAAAATGAGGTTTGGGATACATCAAAGACCCCCAGTGCATCATCAGTGGATAGAAAAGATGATGACTCAGAGCATGATGCCTTGACACTCTCTTTCTCTCTTTGGACCACACATGGTGATGACCCTGGAAAGAGCATCCGTGAGTGCCAAGCACCACATGGACATCAACCTATCCCAGAAAAAGTCCAAGTGCTGTTTTCCAACAAATGGCCCAGAATTAGGTCTGCTCTGAAGTGGCATCTGGTGGAGAGCAGGTCAAAGTACACCTTTATGCAATACAGTGATCACAACGGATCCCTCAGTTCTGCACAATGGAGGTACAGTTACAGAACAGCCCACACCTGAACTCAACAGAGTGATAGCAGAAAATAATTTGGCAAGCACTTCAACACAAAGATTCCAACAATTTAGAAGGTTACTTACAGACCATATTCCCAAATACACATTGCACCTGTCCAACATTACAGCAGCATTGCAGCATCAATTTCCATACATGTGCACAGTAAGTTTGCACTGTTTTCTGCAGTTAGCATCATTTCAGTACATGGAAAGCAGTCCTCTAGAAATTGTGATCTTCAAACAGCAATTCAGGGTAAAAATGCACCAAAGCATTTTATTTTAAGGCATTATGAAAATTTAGTATCATTTGGCCTGGCCTGCACCTGGCACACACCAGCATGAAGTTCAGCACATGGATATTGCCCAAGTAGATAGCACAGCAGAGGGATTTTATGCTAATTGGCCTTAAGATGGCACCAGGTAGCATGCAAAAGGTGCTGGTCACCATCAAGCTGTAAGCGAAGTATAATCTCATCACAAGCATGTCAAACCATGTTTGCATATGCATGGAAGTTTAAGAATTTCTACACATGACATGCTTGTCAGCCATGATTGCTAAGCTGCTGTTTTGACACATTTGAATTACAAAACAGATCACTGCAGGCTGAACAATGAGCGTATCACTTCATCCATATTGGTTGATCAACTTATCATGAGCATGGATCTGGGCTGAAGACCTGATGTGGCCACAACAGACCTCCTGGGGACTTTGTCATCGCAACGACGGCAGACATAGGTGAAGTATGGCGTGGAATTAAATGGTATGTGCCCAAAGCCCTGAATATCTGCCTGCCAGATGTGTCAACTTGCCCTCGATGAAAAACCCCTGCAGCCCCTCCCACGGCCTCCGCTTCTCCACATCCACTTTTAATGCCTGACAACCGCACTCGCAGGATAGCGCAGGTGCGCTTGGTTTGTCTCATCTGCGTATCTTACGAAAGAATTGTGAACGAAAAGCAGCAGACAAATTGCCCTTCGTCGTTATGAATTTTGTGAAGCTTTACATCGTACATACACTTCGTGCCAGCGTGAAAAATACAGACAGTTGCAAACTCCTTAAAGACCTTCAGCATCACATCAGAAGTTCATGAGCACGGAGTCCACTAAGCATGCGGAGTGTGCCATTGCTGACACAAACAGCAGCACCTACCCAGTGTGCTGTTCGGACTCACGAACCCCAACGCCGCACCCAATACGAGAGCTCCCGACTACCGCTCGGAGCAATGCATCCGAGCAAGCCGCGGCTGCTCGGCTTAAGATACACGTGAGAAGAGTACCCGGCAATGGCATTCGCCGCATTCAACTAAGACAGTGTGAGAACAAACCAAACGATTGCTTACCGTTAGTTTGGTTCTGCGCCCAGCTGGGGCTCAAAACGCTTAGCTAGTGTCGCCAGCAGCATCGCAGATAGGGTGTGTGGAGGGGGGAGGGGCACCGGCATTCCGAATCCCCACAGCACTGTTGTAATCCACCAGACACGGGCTCGTATGAAGTCTGTATTCTCGAGTAGCATAGTGTCTTTCGGTGACATGATGTCTTTATTCACGCGTACAAGCATTGACAACTGTAAACGACATCAACGGTCAACAGACCGCGAGTATTTCCAGTCATGCCGTCTGGCCAGTAATTCGACTGAGAGGATGGCAAAGCAATACGGTTCCAGCAGCGCTTTATCAAAGGCCCATCGCTACATCTCCCTGGGACGCATCACACAAACTCGTCAACATTGCACGGGATGAAAGCTGTCACTGGCCACAAATTCCTTCTCAGCAACGCGCCTCCGCGACAGAGTATACCCTGCGGCGACAAACGGCGGTCTCGCCGGTATTGCACCAACCAGAGGCCCCCACCGTCAACTCACGTGCACCGACAGAAAACCGGGCAAAATACGTGCCCTCGCTATCTGCATTGCGTGGCATCATCAGTATGGCACCGGTTGAATGGCCGCAAGCAAAGCTCAGCCAGGACCAGTGGCGGCCCGCCGTAAGCCGCCAGCATCACGTGGGCATATCCCCTCGCGCCTCGTCCCTCCTCCACATGACACGCCTTATGTGGCCGCTACCCTGGTGGCCTACTTGTCGCCAAAACGCCATCACAAAACGCTCCGCCCTGATGTCGCATCTACTTCAACCCTGTGCAGTTATCTGTGTCGCCGAGGAGGCCACCACCATGCCCGCCATGCTCCTCGCACAGAGTTAGGCGTTCTGTCAACCCTCGCCCCCCCCCCTCCCCCTTCCCCCTTCCCGCCCTCCCTGGGACTATGAAGCTCCATCACTGCACCTCCCACGGCTGCTCAGACCGGCTGACTTGCCGCCGCCGCCGCTGCAGACGCAGCGAGACGTGAAAGCCCGGTAGGTCAGATCCAGCGGCGGTCTCCAGCCGCCCGACGCCGGCGGCGTTACCCCGGGGGTCAGTCACCGCGCCGGCGGCCAGCGGCCCGGCCCGCCCCCGGTACTCGCCCTGAGACACGAACTGCGCGCCCTGGCTGCGCCTGCCGCCCGCGCGCCGCGAGACAGAGCGCCGGCAGACGCGGCGCGCATGGCGGCCAGGCTAGGGGTCAGCGCCGGCCGGCCGACGGCGGCCGCGCAGCTCGCGCCGCAGCTGCTCCCGCTCCGCCTCCTGCTGCCGCAGCAGGTCCGACATGTGCGCCTGCTGCCTGCGGGCCGGGTCAGATCAAGGTCAAGGTCCGCTGCAGCAGGTCTGATAGTGCGCCCGCTGCCTGCAGGCCCGGTCCGGTCACGGTCGGATCAAGGTCAAGGTCAGCTGCAGCAGGTCCGACAGTGCGCCCGCTGCCTGCGGGCCGGTCCCGTCACGGTCAGATCAAGGTCAAGGTCCGCTACAGCAGGTCTGACAGTTTCGCCCGCTGCCTGCGGGCCGGGTTGGATCACGGCCCAGATCAGCGGCAGCGGGCCAGGGACGTGCGTCCGCTGGTTGCCATCGGGTCAGGTCCCGGTTCGACCACACCACGTAATATGTGTGTCTACCGCCCGCTGGCCGGGTCAGGTCACAGCCACCGCCAGGTCAGCCTCGGCGGGCTAGATACGTGTGCCTGCTGGCCGCCGGTTGAGTTGGATCGAAGTCTGGGTAAAGGCGGTGTGAGATGCACACGTCGGCGAATCATTGACAGACTGGATGATACTCCTTGCGGGAAATAGCTAGCGGCCTGACCACAGGTACATGTTCCCGCAAAAACATCCCGACGCAAAGTAGCCAACCCACCGCATCGGCGTGTCGCAATCAGCTCCTCTTCGAACACCGCGACCCAGAGCTGCCCCCCCCCCCCCTCTCCAAAGACACTCAGACATTCATCGCCGAACGCTGTGGGTGGCGTTCCGCATATGGCCGTACCAGGCCTTCCTCCGTCCCCGGACGCAGGCCTCCCTCCGTCGCCGAACGCAGGGCGCCCTCTGTCCCCGGACACAGGCCTCCCTCCGTCCGCGGATGCAGGACGCCCTCTGTCCCCGGACGCAGGCCTCCCTCCGTCCCCGGATGCAGGGCGCCCTCTGTCCCCGGGAGCAAGTCTCCCTCCATTCTCGGACGCCGGGCGCCCTCACCTGGCCACTAGCTCTTTATACAGCGCCATCTCCTCGACGCAGGTGGGCCGGGCGGGCTCGGGCGGCGGCGACGTAGGCGGCGGCGGCGCTGGCGCTGGCGCTGGCGCTGGTGCTGGCGCTGGTGCTGGCGCTGGTGCTGGCGCTGGTGCTGGCGGCGGCGGCCCGGCCTCCGCCGCTCGGCTGACGGCGAACCTGCCGCGCCGCACCGGTCTGCCGGCGCCGTCCGGCGACGCTGGCGGGGACCAGAGGCGCCGTCACGAGGGTAGGGGCCGGGCGCGGGCGGAAGAGCCGCGTGGGACGGACGGCTCGCGGAACTGAAGCTGTCTAGAGCAAGGTCGGTGACAGACGCGATGAACGAAGGGAGGGCTTTGATGAGCAGTGACCGAAGCCTGGCGCTGACAACACATGCCTGCGCACAAACGCAGCACAACAAACATCAGCTCCATACGGCTTGCAAACAATGCGAGAAATAGCAGCAGCTGTGCGGGGTGGACGGTGCAGCGCTATACGTGTCCTCGGCTTACTGACCGCTGGCAGTATTTGCAGTACCTCGCAGCAAAGGTGTCTTGCGTAACTCTTTCTCACTACCTCCATCAGCCCGACCATTCCGCCATATACCCGTCCTCCTCCCCCCCCCCCCCCCACCGTCCCCATGAGACGTACCGGCGCCGCCGGGAGCCGCCGGCGCCGGCGGCGCCGGCGGCGGCGGCTGCGACGGCTGGACCTGGAACGGCATCTGGTGGACGGGCTGGCCGCGGCTGGTGTCCACTGGGCCGACGGTGTCGCTCTGCGGCGGGCCCGGCTCGGCCGGCTCGTCCAGCGCCGACAGCAGCGGCGTGGACGTCACGTGCGGCTGCCGGGGGCGGCCGAGGAGCCGGTCAGCGGAACCGCGAGCTGGACCGTGACGTCACACCCAGACGCCGTGCAATGGCTGTTCCTACCGAGCGCTCCGAGTATATGAAGCGTGATGATTCCATGGAACCTTGGCAATTCAACCGACCACCGACGAATCATGCACGCCCTGCATTGAATCCTTCATAATATATGTCGTCCACGGCAATTCTCGAACTCCCCAACAATAGTCGCGGCAAAAGTGAACGCAAAACGTCTCCCTCTCGTCACGCCTGTACGCTAACGCCACGCTCCTGCAGTCCTCTTCCGTTTCCCTGTGACCAAGCCGACTCCGTCGTTACTGTGACTTCATGACGTACTCAGCTCCTGAGGCTATACGGTGTTGCCTACCTCTCACCCCGCCAGGAAGGGTGGGCAGCGCGGGGAATCGAACCCCGTTCTTCTGCTTCCCAGACGTGAGGTAGTCAACGCGCACCCTCTATCCCGACTCCGCCGGCGGCTCACCATGGCCGGCTTTCCGTGCAGCTTGTTGAGCTCCTTGGCCAGGTCGGATAGTAGCAGCGGCGGCGGTTTCCGTCGCTCGCCGCCAGGTGTCTCCGTGGTGCTGGCCGGCCGCGACAGCTCGCCGGCGACCAGGACGCCGCCGGTCTTCCGGGCTGGGGCGGAGTGCAAGGACGATGCGGTCTAACCTCCCCACCACGCAGCGCCGCGCTCGCCTGCGAACGGAGGCGTGGCTGAGCGTCCCTTGGCCGGGCCAACATGACATCCACCTCCCCACCGTGCAGGTCCGTGCTCGACTGCGGACGGAGGAGGGGGTCAGCGTCCCCCGGCGGCGCCAACATGACACAGGCCATGACAGCCAGTGTTCCCGGCACTCGACTGCGAACGTTGGGGGGAGGGAAGGAGGGGGTGAGCATTCGGCAGAGTAGCGACAGGAGCTGGGGATCAGAGGTCGAGCGGCGTCGCACCTGCTGTCGCGGCGATAACAGCCTTAACGTCTGACAGCAGGGTGACATTTACACAGGCAATCACGGAAATGGAGTGACATCGACACGGAGACACAGCGCCGGGGTCAGGCCCGCGCTCGACCGCGAGTCGTGGTGACCAGGAGTAGCGGGGACCGGCAGTCGCGGTGGCCGGGCGTCGCGGTGTCCGGCAGTCGCGGTGACCGGCAGTCGCGGTGACCGGCAGTCGCGGTGACCGGCAGTCACGGTGACCGGCAGTCGTGGTGACCGGGACTCGCGGTGACCGGCAGTCACGGTGACCGAGAGTCGCGGTGACCGGCAGTCGCAGTGACCGAGAGTCGAGGTGACCGGGAGTTGGCTGTGTCCGTCAGTGAAACACCGAGGCCGGGGGCCCGTGTCGCCGGACACCTCCGTGTCGCCGTGTCGTCGGATGTCAACGTGATCGGCCAGTCGCCGCAGTCGGCTGACGAAGCGTCGCTGACTGAGTTCCGCTGGTGTTGGCGGACCGACAAGGTCTCAGTGTCGACGACGCGGCCGGACGCAGTGACGGGGAGCGGTCAGTCGGCGCTGCGACAGTGCGGGATGGCGAGGGCGCAGCAGCATGAACGCTATATGGTACTTTTTTGCGTAGAGTGCAAATGACCTCTGACCGCAGGTGCACACAAATATTTGTGCAATCGAGTCTCTTTCAGGCGCGCAATTAGGTCAAGTGTGACACAACAAAAAGCTGACAAGTGTAAGTATCACGTCTCGTACAAAAACATATCCGAGACGCCAATGAGCACTCAAAAACCTTCGCAACAAGTAGGACCTAAACGCGCTCAAAGACCAAAATATTACTTCGCAACCGGCGCCAACCTGATCAGGATGCATCACATCCATCAACAGCTCATGCCACGACGCACCAAAGCGATTCATCCCAGCAGGCCAGACAGCCCCGCCCACATCACGTGAGAGGCTTGCTCCGCCCCTCCCCACCGACGGTTCGCCCCGCCAGACGGGGAGGGGACGGGGAAGGGGAGGACGGCGAGTCGCGCGAGGTGCGTCAGTGCGGGACGACTCACTGGGCGCGGCGCGGGCCCTCCGGCGGCCGGTGCCGAGTCCGCGCAACGCCAGCTAGACGGCGCGGCGAGCTCGTGCCGCCAGGCGGCGCCCGCAGCGACTGCCCGGCCCCACGCGGTCAGCGCAGGGGAGGGGGAACGGATCGGCAAGGGTACGCGTGCACAGGTCGGCCGGCGAAGCAGTGGCCGGCCGCACGGCCTCCGGACCTACCTTATCAACGGATAGCTGAGAATTGGCGGAACAAAACCCAGAGTCCGACTTAATGAACTTCCAACCGGTCAGAATGAGGTGCATTACCCGCGCATGATCGTGGCAGAAAGACCTCCCAGTACCCCCCTTCCCTGCGCATGCCGCGCCAGCTCCCCGGGCCGTGCCTACCGAAGCGGGCGGAGCGCCGACGGCGGCCATCCGTCGGCCGAGGTCGGCCGTGTCCGGCGGCGCCGCCGCTGCCGCCGCCGCCGGCGCCGGCTGCGCCGCACCGCCGGCTGAGCCTCCCTCCGGGGGCTGTGACGTCAGCCGCGTCAGCTGCTTGGCCAGCTGAGCCAGGTTGCCCACGCTGAGGGAGGACAAGCGGCGTCAGGGGACGCGGACGCGCCCCACGGAGGGGCAGCGCTGGTGGAGGGCCGTCGGCTGCTGCGCGCGCGCTCACAGCATCACACAACGCACAACCACGCACCGCCGGCGTCGTGACCGCGTCAGTCAGTTTAAGTCATTCACTGATCACGCCTGGTGACAGATTACAACCATACGTCAGCGGTCCGGTTCGGTGGAGGGGAGTCCGCACACACGTCACCCGCGCGCCTCTTGGCAGGAACACACTCCCACACTGACCTGCTGGGGCCATCCTGTGGCAAGGGTTGCTGCTCGGGCGAGGTCTTCTCCCCGTCCGGCGCCGGTGCCGGAAGGACGGCCGGGGCCGCGCCGTCGGCCGACGGCGCGCTCTCCGGCCCGTTCACCGCCAGCGGACCGGGCGCGGCGCCGCCCATCGGCGGAGCAGGAGCGGCGTCAGCATCCGCCGGGTCAGGAGCTGAGCTTAGGGGCGAGACGGCGGCGGCGGCCGACGGCGGTTTGCAGGCGGCAGTTGCCATCGCCTCGGCAACGGCGGTGGCTGCGCACGGCTGCGGCGCGGCGCCGGAAGACGAGGGGATCGTCGCAGGCGTCGGCCCGACCGCGGCCGTGTGGTGAGCGAGCGCCGCCGCCGCCGCCTGAGACCGCAGCGACGCCGGCAGAGCGGCGGCCGCCAGCGTCTCCACGCTAGAGGCGAGAGCGCCCCCTAAGGCAGAGTGAGCAGGGCCGGCCGGCGGGCCCAGGTGGGCGGCGGGGTCGGGCGAGACGTGGTGAGCGGCGGTCACCACCGTCGCGAGGCCGGACGTCGCCGACCCCGCGTGCGAGGCAGGCGTGACCACCATCCTCTGCGGCGCAGGGGCGGCAGACGCTGAACGAGAGACCGGCTGCCCGTCGCCAGCCGTGCCCGATGACGGAGGAGCGACGGCGTCCAGCGACGTTTGCGGCGAGACGCCCGGCGTCTTCACGGCCGCGGCCGGCGCCGGCAAGGCCGCGGCTGACGCCTGCGAGGCGCCGGCCGGCGCGTTCGGAGCGACAGCCGGCGATGGCGAGGTGGCGGCCGTTCCGAGCCGAGGGCCGTCGGCAGAGAGCGGGACGGCCGCCGGAGCCGCCCCGACTGCGTCCACCGGCGCCGGATGACCAGCAGGGACTCCCGGAGCCACTCCTGACGTGACGGCCGGACTGAGCGCCGGAATGGCCGCCGGAGTGGCGGCCGCCTTCTGCCAGTCCGGGCTCAGCACGGCCGTCTGCGGGCTCGGCGTGACGGAGGTGGTCGTCGCGCCGGCCGCCGTCAGCATACTCAGAGGCTGAAGCAGCAGGACGCCGGCGTCAGCGGCGGCTCACGCTGGGATAACGGGAGGCTCAAGCGGCGACGGCCGGCCCACAGCACCGGGGAACAAACACAGACGATGATACAGCAGCTCGCGAATAGCGAGCGTTCCATAGCAAGCAAGCAGATTCCTCAATTCCTACATACTGCAGGCCCCTGTACACATTCTATGCTCCACGCATCTACAAAAGAATGTGCCGCTTCACAGCGCTATAACCTGCCTTCCCAACCCCAGTTTAAGTGTCCTGCAGTGGATTTCGATAGTGATACGGCAACATCAGTGAGTCGGTCGCGTTCGGAGCGCACCTGCTCGTTGGCCGGGGACTGGAGGGTGGGCGAGGCTTTGCTCTCCACTACAGAGCTGACGACGAAACGAAGCTGGCGACGAATGGGAGCCTGCGGCAAAGCGAGCCGTCAGCCACCATCATCAGAGGGCGAGCCGTCAGCCACCATCATCAGAGGCGAGCCGTCAGCCACCATCATCAGAGGGCAGCCGTCAGCCACCAACATCACGCCACCGTCATCAGGGGGCGAGCCGTCAGCCACCATCATCACGCCACCATCATCAGAGGGCGAGCCGTCAGCCACCAACATCACGCCACCGTCATCAGGGGCGAGCCGTCAGCCACCATCATCACGCCACCATAATCAGAGGGCGAGCCGTCAGCCACCAACATCACGCCACCGTCATCAGGGGGCGAGCCGTCAGCCACCATCATCACGCCAACCATCATCAGAGGGCGAGCTGCCGTCAGCCACCATCATCACGCCACCATCATCAGAGGGCGAGCCGTCAGCCACCACATCATGCCACCGTCACCAGAGGGCGAGCCGTCGGCCACCAACATCATGCCACCATCATCAGAGGGCGAGCCGTCAGCCACCATCATCACGCCACCATCATCAGAGGGCGAGCCGTCGGCCACCAACATCATGCCACCATCATCAGAGGACGAGCCGTCGCCGGCCGACATGCCGGTGGCGGTTGACCGGTCGCATGTGGTAGCATCGCTCAGTGGGAGGGATGGCCAGTAAATGCCCGAACACGGGACACAGTGCCGCCTAGTCGGCTGAGCCAGGTCAAGTAGTCCCTGTAATGGGCAATACCAAGCTGGATGATCACGTAAAATATAAGCAACGTGTGTTAAGTTAGGGAGGTAAGTGCAAACTATGCCGACCAACAACAGGCTACGCATTTTCTAGACACGCTGTATTACCTGACTTTGCGTAGTGAAGCACAATAATACATCGCTAACGTAAAACTGCAATGTATTCGTTTGAATCCACATCAGAGCATTTACGACTATCTCAAAAGGATTGAGCCCACCCAAATAGCCTTTTACTGCTACGCTCTAAAAACGAGCATACCTACTATTGCCAAAAGGAGTTCATCGACCCTAGAAAAACTACAATCACCTCCACTTTCGCGTCTCGCCTGCAGCAGCATCGTCATCAACTAAAACGTTGTCATAGTGGATGAGCGGTAGGCCCAACCCCTTCAAGCACAACCGCTCTGAAGCTGGAATAGAAGTGACAGCAGCCACTAGCACTCTCAAGCGCGCAGTCTACGGAGCTTGTCTGACGAGCATGGACAGATGCACAAGCAGCGCCACACGAAGGCAAACCTGTCGCATTCCTGCCACGACACCTGCGCATTCCCCGCACGTCACATCGGCACACCGAGCGGAGACAGTCCTACTCAGGACACCGCGTCACACCCAGGCCCAAGCACGGCTATGGCACACAGCCGGCACGCCGCCTCAGCTCACTACAGCATGGCCAAGACCACGCCTGGGACCGGGCCTGGGGAGGGGGCGAGCCAGGCCCGGGTCCGGGGCGCACCGTCACGCGGCGCCGGACCAGCGGCAGCGGGACGGACCAGGGTCGGGGCGCGGCGAGCCGGGGTCGGCCGCGTGCGCAGCACGTGCTCTAGACTAGCGGCAGACCAGCGGGAGCACACTGGAGCCGAGCAGGCGCCGGACACATACCTGCGCCGGCGGCTGCGGCCGGCTCGGAGAGTCGACAGAGGACGGCGGGCAGACGGGGGACGACGGCAGGACGGAGGAAGACGATCCGGCGGAAGAGAGCGCGGCCGCGGACGGCGCGGCGCTCTGGGACGAGGCTGCCTGTCCCGGTGCCGGGCGGGACGGAAACGACGGGACGGCCGGCCGGCTGCAGGACGCCTGCGCACCTCCTCCTCCCAGCCCCGGCGACATGATGGGCGGGGACACCACACCCGGAGCGGCAAAGTGGACCCGCCGGCCCTGCGCTGCGCCGCAGCTGGGCACAGCGGCGACGAGTCCACCAGCAGGACCCGGGGAGGGCACTACAGCGGCGGTGGGGGCCGACAAGCCGGGGACCACCGCCGGAGTGACAGACTCGGCGGAGGACACCACCCCGGGAGCGACGGGCCGGGCGGAAGACACCACCCCGGGAGCGACGGGCCGGGCGGAGGACACGCCCCCGGGAGCGACGGGCTGGGCGGAGGACACCACCCCGGGAGCGACGGGCTGGGCGGAGGACACCACCCCGGGAGCGGTAGGCTCAAACGGCGCGTCGCGAGCCTGGGTCGAGACGGCCGGGGTGGAGAAGACGGCCTGGAGGGGCGGGAACGGACGGCAGCACGGGGGGAGGCGCGGCACCGCCGGGGCCCGCTGAGGAGACCGGGGCCGAGGAGGCGGCCATCCCAGTGGTTGAGACGGGCGGCCGAAGCGGCGTCGCAGCGGGAGACACCCCAGACTGCAGTAACGCCGCGGAGCCCGCCGCCCCAGTGGGGACGGGCGCCGCCGCGGCCGCCACCCCCGCATGAGGCCCACCCACCGGCGCCGAGAGCCCCGCCTGCGCCGTGCCCCCGGAGGTCACCGGACCGGGGAGCGAGGCGGCCACGGGATAGAGCGCCGGCGCGCGGCCGTCGGCCGGCGCCGGCTGCGCCGCCAGCAGCGCCGCCAGCTGCTGCGGCGACAGCGTCACGATCTGGAGGCCGTGCGGCGCGCGCAGCAGCACGGGGAAGGCGCCGGGCGTTCCCTCTACCTGGCTGGCGGCGGCCGTCGATAGGTCGGTGGGCCGCCGCTGGGGCGAGCCGCCGGCGGCCGCGGCGCTCGCCGGCCGCGCCGCCTCCTCCTTCTGCCGACAGCAGGCCGGCACGTCAGACGCGCACGAAGCGCCCGCCGCGCGCCGACGCAGGAGACTTCGAAAACTCGCAGTTGCGGATACCACGAGCGGGAATGCAAGGCCATGACACGACTTCAATTATAATTGTATATGTCCAATTACAATTACATTTAATCATATCTAATTGCAAGTCAGGGTGTAGGGGGACAGCAATAGCACAAGCCATAGACACTCGTTAAATGACGCATTCATAGTCGCAATCACTGCAATCGGTTGCACTCGTATACCTGTGAGCACCGGCCACGTGCCTGCAAACCGTCAACGAAACTCCACACCGACATGCGCGCGCCCAACAGCCGCCATCGTCCCCCAGCCCCCGGTCGTGGCCGCGCGCGCCCACCAGCGCCGCCGCTCACCTGGTCGTCGTCGCCGGTGGGCGGCGCCGCGCCGGACCGCTCCCGCTCGCGCTGCAGCCCGATGATGGCCTGCAGCTGCTCCTCGAAGTACTGGGCGTCGTCTCGCGGCAGCAGGTGCGCCTCGGTCTGGACCGGAGGTGGGCCGGTTAGTAGGGAGACAAGGAGTGGGCGGCGAGCGACGCACGCGGCGGCAGGAGCGGTTCGGTCTGGACCGGAGGTGGGCCGGTAAGAAGGGAGACAAGGAGGGGGCGGCGGGCAGCGCACCCGAGGCAGGAGCGGTTCGGTCTGGACCGGGGGTGGGCCGGTTGGTAGGGAGACTAGGAGTGGGCAGCGGGCAGCGCGCGCGCGTCTAGGTACGAATGGGCAGGAGCGAAAGCGCTGAGGATTGTACGCTGGACAATCGTCACGTAATGACGGCTGCTTCAGATGCACTAGACGCTGAGCTTATTAAACGTCGGCCAGGTCAGTTTCCATATCTCACAGTAGGTCCACAGCTCAAAACAGCTCATTTGGCGGGAGAGATGTCAAAAGGAATACAATGCTGTGTTATGCTGCACCATCCTAGTGCAAAAAACATTTTCATCGCTTCGCATGCGTATCATCGGGTTCAGTGTACATGTTTGAACCTCCAATTTATACCATGAATCTTCCACCCCAATAAAGCAATTCTCATTTACCAGGTGATTTGTACCTAGACTCTTTCTAAACAGCTCGGGTCGCTTTGCGTCAGACCGACCCTTCCGGACAGTTGCCAACACTTCGCATAGGGTCGGATCATCAGTACTCACAGTCAACGGACAATAAGCCCTCCGTCGTATCGTCTCAGCCACCGGCACTACAACAAGCCCACCGCCAAGCCGCACGGACGGCCAAGAAGCACACGCAAGACCTCGCTGCGAGCTGCGCGGAATAATTCATGCGCCACGCCGGCTCCCTGGCGGACACGCCGACGCGGCCCGGGAGCGTGACGCACCATTTTGTAGGATATGGCTGTCACGTCCGCTTCGTGCAGGTCGAACTTGAACGTGATCGCCTGCGACTGGTTGGTCTCCAGCAGACAGGACACCACCGGGCCGTTGTCGCTGCCCTTCACCTGCGGGTATGGCCGGACACCTCAGTCATCCGACGGGACCGACGCCGCCGGCCTTCACCTGCGGGTATGACCGGACACTTCAGCCATCCGACGGGACCGACACCACCGGCTCGGCCCTGGAGCCGCTGTGGGGCGGCTGTGCGTGTTCCGTCGAGCTGGTGGTGTGGGTTCCGTCCGTGATTTAGCGGGGAGTCGATACAGCTGTCATTTTGTGTTACCGGGCACAGAGAGCTGGTTACGCAGGCTCGAAACTGCCGCAACACTCGGGCGATGTAAGGGACGCCGCTGGGAAGTCTGACAGCCTCCCTTTCACCACACCAAACACACACACATACACTACCTCCGCAGACAACCGTGATATCCGAGCAGACGACATTCGCCCGCTCCCCTTCCCCCCCCCCCCCCCCCCCCCCATCAGCCGTGCGGCCCGAAGTCACGGGACTGGCCGTCGGGCGCGGCCCGGACTCGCCCGTCACCTCGAGTACGGTGAGGCGGGGCAACCGCTCGCAGGTCTTGCGCCGCCGCGGCCGGATCTTCTTCTCCTTCTTCTCGCTGAGCGCAGCGTCGCTCTCCGTGGACACGGAGGTGTCGACCGGTGCCTGACGGGCCGGGCATCGGCTGAGCGGGCACGAAGACATCGACAGGACCAGCCCAATCGCTATCACGCAACGTAACAGCCGACAGCGAACTAATCACGCCTAAATAAGCAACGCCCGTCTGAAATAGCTCGCTGTAGGTTCTGAACATCATAATGCGGTACAACATACCAGTGCCACGCACATCATATCTCCCCAGCGCGCTCCGCTCTTCACCGATCCTTCTCGTCGGCGCCGCTCCGCAGCGGCTACCTACGTCACACGCCGCCCCTGCCTGTTCCCCCAGCCGTCTCCTCACCTCCGCGCCCGGCGTGCCGGCCGGTGGTGGCTCCGTCGGCCGCGGCGTCGTCTCCTCGGTGGTGCCAGCGGCCGGCTCGGCCGCGCCCAGCTGCTGCGCCGACTGCGCGTGCGCGGCGGCCAGCGCCGGGCTGGGGGCGGCCGCGGCCGGCGCTGGCGCCGGGGTCGAGCTGACGCTGACGGCGGGCAGCGAGGCTGACGCGTGCACGGAAGCGTGGACGGCGGCGCCGGGGGCGGTCGGCGCCGGTCCGGCCGCCGGCGCCGACTGCGTCTGCGGCACGGCTTGCTCGCGCCGCTTCTCTTCGCGGGCGCGCACCAGGCTTTGGATCTGGTTGACGATCATCTTGGCCACGGGGCGCCAGTTCTCCTCGGCCAGCAGGCCGGACATGACCTGGGCAAGGCAGGGGCTGAGGCGGAGCTGATGGACCGAGCCGGCAGGGGTTGAGGGTTCTGACGGATCGCCGCAGCAGGGGCTGAGGGGGCTGACGGACCGTTGCAGCGGGGGCTGAGTGGGGGGGGGGGGGCTGCCGTGCCGCGGTGGCAGGGGCTGACGGGCTGACGGTGCTGACGGACTGAGGCGGCAGGGGCTGAGGGTGGTGACGGACCGCGGCGGCAGGGACAGCATACGACGACTTGGGGATAGCGATGAGGTAGGGCATCATTAGACCGCTGATCCCTTCCAACAAGACACCTTGTAGAAAGTGGGACTGCACACCAGGCGCACCAATACGTCGGTGGAGCCAGCGGCCGACACGAACAGGGGGCTACGGAACCTAATGCTGCGCAATATAATGGATACATCACGGAATTGGCACCCGCAATGTGTGGCAACGAAATCGCTGCTGGCAGTGTTTGGTTTATCTGTAATCGCCGCGTGTGATGTAACCGAACACGATAAGGCTATGTAGCCCTAGCTCCAGAGATTAAAGCACAACTTTTCGCAAGGACGGCCACAATCTAACCATCAACACAGGGAGTGACTTTTATATCACCCGCCATTCTACCGCGGAGCTCCCGGGAGGCCTCTGACCCTCATTCCACCGCTGCCCCCCTCCCCGTGTCACCCCCCCCCCCCCCCCCTCCCTCCTGCGTGCCGCCTCACCATCTGCTTGGCCGTCTCCTCAGGGTTGTCCTTGTTGAGAACGTAGTTGAATTGGATGGCCTCGTTCTCCTTGTGCGTGTCGCGTCGCTTCTTGGCGTCGAGCACGCGCAGCTGCAGCTCGATGACGCTGCGGTCCGAGCTGACCGTCTCCTCGCGGTTGGCCACGTCCAGCCGCATGCCGCAGTCCTCGGCGAAGAACTCGTGGTTCAGCAGCTGCTTCACGGTGGGCCGCTCCTTGTTGTTGAGCCGCGTGCACCACTCGATGAGCTCGCGGGTTTGCGCGTCCTCGATCTTCTCGAAGCTCGAAGGCTTGATGCCCTGCGAGAGGGGGGAGGGAAGGAGCGGAGGCCCCGGTCAGGCGGGGTCCAGCGAGGAAGCTGAGACAAGCGAAGGTACAAACCACACGCCACTCACGTCAGGGAAGGCCGCACACCTTGCTCGCGAGATGGCAGAGGCGCTCGCTGGTCTTGAACCACACGGCCCACGAACAACCTAATCTGCAGCGTTGAGTACCAAGGCTAGAACTCAGCACGTCAACGTAGAACACTGCCATCATCGTAATGTTTATCACAGCCACGGAGCAACAGCGTGAAACATGGGGATTGGTGCAAATTTCACACAGGCTGCACACACAGGCTGAAAGCTGACCACCTGCCCTACTGCAGGAGCGCCGGCCGGTCGCTCCCGTACCACAGCGCCACCATGCGGCCGGGAGCCGCCGCTCACCGTGATGACCTTCTTGTAGATCTGTGCCGGCCCGGTGCACTCCGAGTAGGGGTACTCGGCCGTCACCATCTCCAGCATGCACATGCCGAAGGCGTACACGTCCACCGCCTCGTCATAGTGCTCCTCGTACACCTCCGGAGCCATGAACTCGGGCGTGCCTAGCGGAGAAAGGCGTTCGAACAGAGCGCGCCCGCCTGGCGTCTATCAACTATTGGCAGTCCGCTGCCATTCAGTGGCAAAGAGCGCTCTAAGACGAGCCAGCCTGCCCAAGTATGTAGTTATGTGTGCGTGTGTGTTGCTTGTCCAATGCCGAGGTGGGTGGAAAAAACATTCGAAAAACAGGCGTGGAGAGGTTGCCCTAGACTATGCACAAGTCCTCCGCGGCCGGTATCGGCGCATCACTGTCGCGCAAGCATTCCCACCCCGGCGTGCGACTCGCAGCGAAGCCTGGGAAGAGCCCGGACGCGGCATTCAAGTTCGCTCGGAAGCCGGGCATGCCTGCATAGCGCGCGCGGTCAGGCGGCCAAGCCTCCCGCTCCGAACCCCCCGATGCCGTCGTCTGCAGAGCCAACCACCCGCAGCAGGCGTCCCGCCAGCCAGCCGAGCCCGGCGCCCCCGGCGACCCCGCTCATGCTGGAGCCAGCCGGACTCTGACCAGCCGCGGCCGGCAGCGGCGGCGGCGGCAGCGGTGCTCACCGATCACCGACTTGGCGAACGACCGGTTCTTGAGCGTAGCCAGGCCCAGGTCGCCGACCTTGACCTGGCCGGTAGTGCCCGAGATGAAGATATTGTCACACTTGAGGTCGCGGTGAATGATGGGCGGGTTGCGCGAGTGCAGGAACTGCAGGCCACGCAAGATTTGGCGGCACCACAGCTTAATGATCTTCAGCGACACCTTCTTCTGGCCGAAGTTCTTCAGGTACCTGTGGTCAAAACAAACAACTGCAAAAACACCACGGCAAAGCGATGCTTACACCACTTACAGAGCGTAAAGACGAATGAAAAAGTGCGACGAAGCTGCAGCTACTGTAGGGCTTTGAGCTCCTCCAGGACACAATGCATCCGTAGCCCGCTCGATCGCGCACGCCGGCGGCCGAGGGAGCGCGACCAGAGCAGGGCTGGTCGGCAGCTGTTGGCCATTGCCGCTGAGTCAGCCTTCTAACGGCGTCGGCCGGCGCGGGCTCGGAGCCCTGTCTGGCCGTCCGGCACACGTCGGATCGTCTTTCTTCCGCGCAGCGGATGCTTACACGATCACAAATGCTGCCTCAAATGTCATCTCACCGCCTTATTACGGTCCAATATCGGCAAGGGTTTTCTGTTTCCCCACATTCTGATTGGGTCCTGCGAGCATGCATCTCGAGTTGATTGGTTGCGCCCGCTCGTGACGTTCGACCCCAGCAAGTGGGGAGGGACGGAGTCGTCGGCGAGGGCGCACGAGACGGCTTGACTTCGCTGGAACCGGCCAGCGCACGATACCGTGACACTCGCTGCACACAGGCTCCGTTAGGCGCATATTGAGCAGACATTTGAAATTGCAGGCGCCCTAGGTGGAGGCGGCCGTGCTGATCTAGTACAAACGGTTGGTGACATATATCATATGTCAGCCAATCATTTATATCTTTGTTCAACTAGCTCCTTCCATCATACCGGGTGCTGAAAGCCTTTCTTACATATATGAAGGGTTTTGTACTTCACTTTTGCGTCCACTGACCGCCTGCCGACGTCCGCTCCTTCTAGCATACCGGGTGCTGAAAGCCTTTCTTACATATATGAAGGGTTTTGTACCTCACTTTTGCGTCCATTGACTGCCTGCCGACGTCCCCACAAGACTTGGACTCCCGCACGTAGTTAGGGGGTCATGGCCGCGGGCCGGTATCTCAGCGCCCACTCACGTGCGCAGAGTGCCTGACGTCATGAGCTCCGTAACCAACACGATGCAGCTACGCTTCGGCTTGTCCACCTCCCAGAAGTCGTAGAAGCGGACGATGTTTGGGTGCGTCAGGCCCTTCATCAGGTCAGCCTCCTCCCGGAACCGGTCGCGGTCCTTCTTGCTCAGTCGGTTGCCGCTCAGCTGTGGCCAGAGCGACGCCGCTTGATAGGTATGGGTACGGTGTTGAGAGGATTGATAGCGACGGTATGCGCCGTTTCGAAGGGCGAAGTTCCGGGCCAGCTGGTAGCCAACATCACATCACTCCGAAGCGTTTCTCAGACGTGAATATTTTCCGAAATGGCCGCCGGCAAGGATCAGTCACGAGCAAATACAAGCAATGCCATTAGAAACGTACCCAAACATGAGGCAACATACGTCCGATCTACAATACAGAAAAAATATCGTATAAGAACAACTGAGTAAACGGCCTAGCCCCCCACCCCCGTACTCTGCGCCCAAGCAATCAGCAGCTACCTCATCCCCTTCCATCCTCTCCTGGACCTCCAAGCCCCATTCAGCGAAGCAGCGCTGACATCGCTGCACCCCCTCCCCCCCCCCCCAAACACACACACACCGGTAGCGGTGCTCACCTGCAGCTCGCACCAGGCGAACGAACACGCCGGTGGTGGTGTCCAATCCCTTGTAGACGGTCTTAAAGCTGCCGCGCCCGATCTCCTCGTTGAACTTGAGGAACGTCCCGTTTGGCGAAACCTCGACGGCCTTCTCCACCTCGTCCTCCTCGCCGTCCTCGGCGTCCTCACCGCCGGCCGTGCCGGGGGCGCTCGGGCCGGACGCGCGCCGTCGCTCCAGCTCGCGGTAGTTCTCGATGGCGTGCCGCAGCGACTCGTTCTCGCGCTCCAGCTTGCGCATGCTCTCCGCCTGGCGGCTCGACTCCTCTTCCTCGGCCAGCGGCTCGACGCGCTCCGTCGGCTCGTCGTCGGCGGCGCCCAGCAGCTGCACGCGCGAGGAGAAGCTCACCTTGGCGGCGTCACGCGGCCGGTCCCGGTGCCGCACGGCCGACGGTCGCGCCGGCCGCGCCGGGTCTGCCGCCCTGCGCCCGCCGCCGCCGCCGCCGCCGCCGACGCCCGACACCGATGGCGACGCGACGTCGATGCTGAAGGCGCGTTTCTTGAGCGACGGCGGCGGCCGCGGCTCCGGCTGCGGTGTGACCGCCTTCTTGGCGGCGGCCGGCCGGTCGGGCCGCGACGGCGCGCCGCCCGTCATCTGGCCCGGCTTCGGCGCCTGGCCGCCGGCCGCTGGACGGTCCGGTCTCGAGGACGGACCGGCTGCAGACGGCGAGCGGTCTTGCTTCGAGGACGGCCCAGCGGCCAGCGGCGGGCGGTCTAGCTTTGAGGACTGGCCGGTGGCGGGCGACGGTCGGTCGTTTTTCGAGGATGGGGCGGCGGCGGCTGGCGAACGGTCCGGTTTTGCGGGCGCCCCGGCGGCCGGTGACTGGCGCTCTGGCCTCGAGAGCGGCCCGGAGGTGGACGGCGAATGATCTCGCTTCGAGGACACCCCTACTCCGCCGCCGGTCGAGCCCGAGTCGGCCGCGCGAGGCGAGGCGCCGCCCGCTTGCTCGGTGGTGTCTGGTACGTCATCCTTCATGGCCAGCTTCTGAGCAGTCTTGTGCAGGAAGTTGACGCCAGACTGCCGCAGCTTGCTCATGGCACTGCCGTTCTGATTGCTCCGAGCAGTAGTGCTGCCGCCGTCCTTTTTGGCAGGTTCCTTGGGCATCATGTCTGATCACAGTATGGTTCTTGCACCATGGCATTGGTTGGGCACCATGGTACTAATTGTGTTCAGCAATGATGTTATTTCTGTCTGAAATCAACAGTTTCATTAAAAATGAGTCACAAGGAAAAATGTGTCATGTTAGCCTTTCATATTACTGACAAACCATGAAACCCAGCATTCAAGCCTTCACTATCAGCCCACAGCCAAAGTAAAGGTTTGAATGACAAAGCATAAAACTTGGTCAGTTTAAGGCAGTTCATATTAGTTAGGCATATTGTCTAGCAGTGCAGTACTTTGCTAAAATACTACCTTAATGTTGGGTGAGAAATTAACTAGATTTCAGTCAGTTGACTTGTTTGTTTTCACAGTCACCTCTAATTTAAGGCGCATTTATCCAGACAGTCAATCAATTTAAAGCACGCCCAACCAACAATAAGTTTCCCCACACGACATCTCCGTCGGGAGGACCATATTGCAAAAAATACATGTTATACAGAACAAGTCCAGAATAGCAGTGGGATTTCCCAGAAAATTTATATTTCTCTCCTTAGAGGCAACATCAGAGCCTGCATGTTGTTTCATGAGCAAAATACTTCTTAGACATGATTTTCAAATCACATCCTAAGCATGAGGCCATAACCAATTATAGGGTAGTAATGTCAAATGCTGTATACCTTGTGGCTTATGATATCTATATATATGTGCACCGCTTTTTGCCATCTACTTGCCAAGATAAATGTGATGGGGCATAACTATGGGCTATCAACTAAAGAGCAAACCTTAACATAAATTTAGTTATTCAAACCATATTGTGATCCCTAATCAGGAGGAAAGAATTAGTGGGATTGATTTGCTTTCTTTAATGACCACACATATGATGTTAAAGAATGGTGATGCAAACACACAGGTCATTACATCTCCAAGCAGCAAGCAACCCAACTTAAGAATTCTGGAGAGATCAATGGCAATTAACTATTCTGTGGATCATTGTATTTTTCATGCATTCATTACTAAATTATGACAATAATTTTATAAAATTGACCAAACACTTATCATAACTGAATGGCTGACACATGGCAAAAACATGATATTTAGATAAACAACCTAGATACAATATGAGTGAAATGTAGTTATGAGGACCAAGAAACCCAAACATTGCCCACATTGCAGTAAACCTTTGGCCAGAAAACTTAAAATTCAGTGCCATAGCAAAGGCATCAACTTCTACAATCACAAAGGTATATACTTTTCTCTATTCATGATTATGGAGCCAAGTAAACGTGAAACCTCAGCAGAATTAGGCATCGGAATGCAAAGTGAGCACTCCTGCCAAAAAGAAGTGTCAAATACAGAAATTTCGATGTAGACCTTGTGTCCTTTTCCCCGCCAGTGATGCAAAATTCATGGCCATTACCCAGGACGAACCTTTCAAGATCACAACTGCTCTCCCGGCCGCCCACCTCCTCCCATCTCACGCGACCTTGCAGTGAAGAACTTGACTTCACTACGACGCAGAGCGTCGAAATCGTCGGGATCGGGCTTTACCAAATGCTCTAAAGCGCTGTCACACCTTCTAACGCTGCGTCAAGCTATAGAAGCGTTTGTTTTTTGTTTACAATTACAATTTGGGTTCCACTTGTACGCCTCAGTTATGCTTTCTTACTTAAACTGTCATCTACAAGTACCAAGTATCCAAAACACTCATTTGACATGTTTAATTGCGTTTGTGACGTAATAATAAGTAGAACGCGCGGACAGGATTAATAGCAGACCGTAGATTGCGTGCTGCACGATAGGAAAGGCAGGGAAGAGGGTTTCAAGTTTGATGGGACGAATGAAGTGTAGCAAGGGGAAACGAATGTTCCCAGCGTAGCGATATACTGGTACGTTGTGGTAGATGATAATGAAATGCGTTTAAACAATCGCTTGACAGTGTAGACATCCGAGATGCTACACCAAGTGCAACCAGTACGTTGACAGAGGGGAGATTGAAAAATAATGACAAGGCTGTAACACAATGCATTGTAACTCCTACATGATGGGCCCTTAAAGCACGTGTCTGGTTGCATCTGAGTCGGTTTCAATAAAACCATGTTACGTGCGTAACATCACATATTAAACGGGCGCTTCACTACAACCTTTTCAGCTTTTAATATTCTGCCGGTTCAATGCAATGCTACAACCAAGAACAGCGCCCATGTTTGGAAACAACGCTGACGTCAACCAGCATGTACAAGGTAATATATGAGTATCCCAAGCGCCCAGACCTTGAACTGTTAGTTTTATCCTTCGGCACCAGAATTACGATGGACGAGATATCCCACTATAGATGTCAGGGCGGTCAAAATGCTTTCCGTGACGCAGCGCGGCACAGCTCGGTTCTCGGTTTTCGCTGGGTAACGTCGTGCGTATCTCAAACTCGAAGAAGCTCCTAGATCAACTTAGAAAATTGGCAGTGGGTTAACGCTTATGGGTGGGCATGTCCGCATTGCATTACAGCGGTGGTATCATTGCTGCAATCGGGCTTGCAGCCAGAGCCCCGGCAAAGGTGGCGTGGACACAGGATTGGCAAAGAGTCCCTTGGTAGCAAGTAACAAAACCCTCCCAAAAAATCGCCTAATATGGCCCGTTTGCTAATGAGACCATGTTTTGTTCCTTTTTTATTTCTACCTTCCATAACTGGGAAGGAATCCAGAGGCTAACGCGAAATGAATTCTGTCTGAATTGTATGGTCTATTGACTGAAGAAAGCATGCGTTTAACGGCTGCATTACGTAAAACACCGGCGTTCTTCATCTTTCAATGGTTTAGTGGACCCTTCCTAAACCGACAGAACTCAGAAGCTTCGACAAAATTCTTACCTGGGTTGCACAGGCACTCCGCGAATGTAGATCGAAATGGGTCAACAATTTGTGTCTACATAGTCAAGCCATGGTGGAATGGTAATGTTGATAATTCGGTCAGAATTGAGAAGTGGCACAAATTATGCAACGTATTTTTGAGCATGCGCCCTCGCAAATCTTACCAACAAAAACGTAGACGCCAGGCGTTCCAGTCTCCTTAGATCGCGCGGCATTGGTTCCGAGCCTAACACTAAGCCTTGGTCAATGGGTGGGCCAGTGAGTGGGTTTTTGAGCGCTTTAGGACACCACATCGTGCACTTAGGAGGTAGCCCGGGCGCATATTATATATGCGCTATTTTTAGACTGAAGATAAGAAAGACTTGGCCCGTACAGCACCAGGGAGTGGTGCCGGAATCTGGTGTTGGAACTGGAAGAGAAACGGTAGAATTCTTATTTTCCGTGTTGCTGTAACTGTAAGTATGTCCAGAGGACAGCCCCAACGTTGCAAAAAAGTGGTGCTCAGGCTCATCTTTGAAAGGCACGAACTAATGTTGAAAGGCACTCGGAACTCTTATTTTACGACAGTCGTTCCCGCGCGCACGGCACCCGCCGCGTGGTGTTTCTGGCCGTGGCCAACGACGTTCGGTTTCACGGAAATTGCAACTAAGGCCATTGCTCTCTTTGCTCCCGGGACTGCAGACGCGCAGGCTCAAGACTTTTGATGTAATTTGTTTCACTAGTCGATTTGGCAAAAGAATAAATGTTCTCAGACAAACTTGGGGTGGCCTTATTCGTTTCTTAGCTCATTTAGACCAGCTCTGTTCAACACTGATGAGGCCCCTTATTTCTTTCTAGGAAAGGAGCCCCTTGAGTAGAACACTAGGCGGTATATCATTGTTTCCGGTGAAGTGCTGAAGGGCCACTCTGTCCCACCGCGGTGTGTCCTCCGGCTGCCATTCTGGCGCCACGGGGCGGGACCCCTAGGCCGATCCGGAAGCCATTAGAGGGGTACATCATATCACGTTGGTCCCCTCTCTGATGCGGGAGGCCTTCTCACCCGCGCGGTTGACCGCGGGTCGACGCAGAAACCGTCATTGACGCAATGACATCGCTGATCGCCGCAGGTGGTCAAATAATTGGCACATAAACCCCATGGGCTTAACAGGCCAATGCTGGAAATGGGTTTGGTGGGCCCACCTCTCGGTATTGCGGGCCCTGGCTGGCACAGGACCCTTCCATTGCCTCAATGTGAACAACCATTATGACTTGTAATGTTCCCTTTCATTTTCAGAGAGCCACAACAAACGCAAGAAGCCCTTTGTCATTTGGGGTCCTGTCCTGTCCCTGTTGGAACAATCTTGCCCGACCAATGTA